TTAAACAAATAAAGGCAAAGGAAACAAGATGGTATATAAAAAATGTCCCCTTCAGAGGGAATCAAGTTCAGATATAACCTGGAACATAAAGATTTGAGTTCATCCAAATTGACAGCGCTTTCCACTGCTGCATGTTTAGTATGCTAATATCTGTCCAAATCATCTTTATGAGAAACAAAGGAGCATTTCCACTTAGGTAAGTCAAATCGGCTGTGTTTGCAGACCTTCCAGATAGTTAATTATATCTAGATTTAGCTATGCTCTTTTAAATATTGTATGCACAATAATATGAAATTAGCAGAAAGTGACTAATCCATCCAGCCAGTTAAGTCTCCCCAGATGCTGCACTTTTGCATCTGAAATTACTTCGAAAAAAACTCAGATAGAAATATTAAACTAGGGAATAATATTTTGTGGGATATTCTGTCTGGTATAAAATCCATGTTAGATTACGCAAAGCCAACCCATTTATATTAGTATAATATCCAGTCAGACAAAAAGTTGTTTTGTCTAAAGTATCTATTGTTTTGCACCTAAGTGTGTGGTCATATGTAAAATTTTTATTTGAGCTTTTGAAACAATAATAAGAAATAGACTGGGCGCAGTGGTTCATGCCTATAATCCCAGCACTTTGGGAGGCCAAGGCAGGTGGATCATGAGGTCAAGAGATCGAGACCATCGAATGTCCATATTTTGCACATATGCAAAAAAAAGGAAATGATCTTTTCAAATAACTTACAGTCAAGAAAACATGCCCCTTTCACTACTGGCACGTGTACCTGTGGAGACTGCACCCAATGCCAGAGACTTAGAGCAGTGCTGTTGACTAGATCCATGCCTTTTGCATAGCTTATGAGCTTTAATGGGCAAGAAGCATATGGGACTCAAGAATAGCTTTCCGAAGGGAAAACATAATTCTAATGGTTACTGCGGAAAGAAAAAGATGAAAAATGGAGAAAGCAAGTTATGCAGAGGAAAGGAACAGAGTGTTCAGCTTTGAAATAATCAAGAATAAACTATCACCGCAGGCAAAGGAAATGAAACCTACATTGAAGTTGACTGTCAAATACTTATCAGCTAATTAGTCTGAAATCTAAGTTGTTAACAAGCTCACGTTTAATGTTTTATACTTTTATAGTTTCTGATTATTTATATTATAAACTTGGTGTACCTATTCTGGTACTATTAGTGCTAATATAAATTATGGATCCAAAAGAATTTTAGAAAGTTTATATTATAAACTTGGTGTACCTATTTCTGGTACTATTAGTGCTAATATAAATTATGGATCCAAAAGAATTTTAGAAATTTTAGAATTTAACTCCTTAAATAGAGTTAGATGAAACAGAGAAGACTGATGATACAAATATTATGTTTTCTAAAAAGGCTGCAAACCAGGAAATACTTTTCTATTACTTTGAAGATGAAGAATATACTGTGAAGATTATGTCTCCAAAATTCCAGTTTATATTAATATGATTGCAAAAGTGTTGAAAAAGATTTCTTTTTCTTTTCTTTTTTTTTGTCTGAGACAATCTTGCTCTATTGCCCAGGCTGAAGCGCAGTGCAGCGTGACCTCAGCACACTGCAGTTCATACCTCTCAGGTTCAAGATATTCTCCTGCCTCAGCCTCCAGAGTAGCTGGGACTACAAGTGCATGACCACCCCAGGCTAATTTTTTGTATGTTTCGTAGAGATGGGGTTTCACCATGTTGGCCAGGCTGGTCTTGAATTCCTGACCTCAAGTGATCTGCCAGCCTCAGCCTCTCAAAGTGCTGGGATTACGGGCATGAGCCACATTTACTGGATGAGATTTCTTTTTAAATGGTACATTTTTTTGAGAAAAGGGAAAGGAGGTTAGGGAGGGAAGAATAGGGAATACAGACAGACAGATAAGCAGGCATTTCTGGTTTTCTGAACAGTTTCCTGATTACTTTCAAATAATGTCTGTTGGTGACTACTCATTTTCATTATTTGATTTATATTTTAGTAAGCAATGCATTCATGTTTAAACAACTAATATACTCATTTGGTACTTTTTACAATTATCTAACTATATTTCTTCAAATTTAATTTGTGTAATGCAGATTGTTTACAACAAAAGAAAACATTGTCATTTTGGAAATTTTGAAAGAAATATATAGGTACTATTAAGACAAATGACCACCTTTAATGTTATCCCCAGTTAAGCAGAGAATATAACAAAGCTAAAGTTGGTTCTGTGGAAAGACTAATGAAATTGGAATAAAATCCTTAGAAATGCATTCAAAATACCAAAAAGAGAAAAGTTATCAACATCAGGCATGGTGGTTTGCACGTTTAATCCAGACACTTTGGGAGGCCGAGGCAGGCAGGTCACCAGGTCCGGAATTTGAGACCAGCCTGACCAACATGGTGAAACCCTGTCTTTATTAAAAATACAAAAATTAGCTAGGCATGGTGGTGCATACCTGTAATCCCAGCAATTTAGGAGGCTGAGGCAGTTTAATCGCTTGAACTGGGGAGGTGGAGGTTGCAGTGAGCTGAGATTGCCCACTGCACTCCAGCCTGGAAATAGAGTGAGACTCTGTCTCAAATAAATAAATAAATAAATAAAAATAAATCTTACAAGCACTAAATGTACTAGAGAAAAATGTTTTCATAGCCTTTTTTTTTCTTTTTTAACAATTCACACTTTTCATGACATGCAAAATTCTCTTTAAAAACATCATTCTAGAATTAGTTCAAAATGCAACAAAAAATTTGGGCAGATATTGAAAGATTAAATTCATTATCAAAAATATTCCCACCAAGAAAGCTCCATCTTAGGCAGTATCACTGGTGAGTTCTATTACATATTCAAGAAAGAAAAATGCTTATCCTGACCAAAACCTGATGTTTAAAGAAAGGAAGAACTTCTCGCTGCATTTTATAAAACCAACATCATCTTGATAACAAAACCAGAAAACAACTTTGGGTGAGAAATATAGAGATCACTACTTCTCGTGAACCTGAGAAAAAAAGTCCTTAACAATATTAGCAGATATTAATTTCAGAATTAAGTGGAGTTCGTTCCAGAAATCAGACGCTTCTTTAACAGCAATCAAAGTACTTGATCATACTAACAGACTAAAAAAAAGAAAAAAAAACAAGCATATGGTAAATGTAATAGATACCCAAAAAGTATTAACAAACTTGAAGTAAAAAAGAATTTTCTCATTGTGATAAAGAGGGTCTGCCTATAGCAAATGACATGCTTAATAATGAAGCCTAAACCCTTTTGTCCTATGAATGAGAACAAAGCAAGGATGTCTCTGGAACCCTAACCAGTGCAATAAGTCCAAAAAAAGAAATTAAAGGTTTACAGGTTAAAAAGAAAAAAATGAAGCTGAAATTATTTATAAGATACATAATCATAAAAATAGAAAATTACAAAGAATCTACAAAAACACTATCAGATACATGAATACATTCACTTTGCTGAGTGAATTTAGCAAAGTTGTAGATAAACACTAAATATAAAAAGTCATTTGTATTTTCTATATCAACTGGAATTTTAAATGGAGACAATACCATTTACAATGGCATTAAATCTTGAAATATTTGATTTCAAGATTTTAAAACAAATTTTACAAAATAGATGCCAAATGTGTACACTTAAAACTGCAAATATTGCTGAGAGGAATTAACTAAAACCTAGTTAAATATATAAGAGATAACTATAGTTACAGATTTGGAGTCAAAATTGTTTGTTTACAATCAATAGATTTATAAAAACCCAAATCAATCTCCCAAGAGGCTTTCTTTATAGATATTGAAAAGTTGAATGTTAAATAGAATGCAAAAGACCCAAAATAACCAAAATAATTTTTTAAAAGAACAAGAGTTAAATGATACATATTACCTAATTTAAGGTCTTCCTATAAAATTATAGTAATCAAGATAATATTGGTACAGGGAAAAATATACTCAAAGTCAATGGAATTGTGGAGATCACAGAAATAGATCCAGATGTTCATTCATGGTAAATAGCTTTTTAACAAAGGTCCCAACCTATTTCAATGGAGAAAGATAGACTTTTAAACAAATTTGTGTTAGACCAACTGAATATTCATTTGATGAAGGAAAAAAGAAATATCATTCCTTGCCTCAGATCATGCTAAAAATTAACTCTAAATGTATTGTATACTTAACTGTTAAAGGCAAAATGATGAAACTTTTGGAAATATAGAATAACCTTACAAACTTTGAGTAGGCAACACTTCATTAGGTCAAAAAATTACAAGCTGTAAAAAAAAAAGCCTGAAAATTATATTTCAAAAAATATTTTATATTTCTGATCTTTATAAGACACTAGAAAGGACAAGGCAAACCCAAAATGAAAAATATTTATAATGCATGTATCTGGCAAAGAACCAGGCTTTAGAATATATAAATAACTCTTGTATCTTAAGAAGAAGAAGACAAAAATATTTAAAAGTACAACAGATTTGAGCTGATGCATCACTAGATACATTACCAAAATAACCAACTAGTATATGAAAAGATTCTCAGCCTTTTCTCATCAATGAACTAGAAACTCCATCCATGAAATACCACACAACTAGGATGGCTAAAATTAAAAAGACTGAAAATGCCAAGTGTTTTTGAAGATTTAGAGCAACTGGAAACACTCAGTCAGACATTGCTGGTAGGAATGTAAAAATGTTTGGCAGTTTAATATCAACTATGCATATGCTTACCATAAAGAAATTAGTGAATATCATCTGTTCATACAAATAATTATGGACACATATTAGAAACAGGTATCCTTATTAAATCCAGAAATGAAAATAACACAAAATCCATCAACAAGTGAATGGATTAAAATATTTTTGATAAATACAGATGATAAAATAATACTATTAAAAGTAATTATAAACTAACTGCTAAGATGACACAACATGGGTGAATCTTAACAACTTTATGCAGAGTCAGATAAACCAGATATTCAAAAGTATAAATGGCATGATTTCACTTACATTCAATTCTAGAACAGGTAACAATGGATTTACAGGTACAGAAAGCGTAGCAGGGGTTGTCTGAAGCTAGTCAAGTTGGAGGTTGCTGCAAAGAGGCGAAAGGCAACCATTAGGTGATGAAAATGTTCTGTTTTAATTTTAGTTGTGGTTAGAGTAACATGAATTTTTCATAACTCACACTGTACATTTTTAAAATAAATGCACTTTATATGTGTTATACATAAATACAAATGATATTTTTAGAAGCAAACAATCTAACAGGAAGAAACTGAGCAGAGTTTTCAAAAATGAAGGAATTCAAGTGGCCAATAACTGAAAAGTACACAGTATCATCCATAACCATGAAAGAAACGTAAACTAAGCCCACAAGATATCAGCACATACCCACACAAATGAGTTAAAATCTGAAAACAATAAATGCTGTTGCATAGACAGGTAGGACTCTTGTATATTGCAGGAATTATAAACATTTCCAAATGCTTTGGAAAACCATTTGGTAGTGTCCAAATAAAAACATTAACATACAACCACCCCGTGATTTAGCACTGTCACTCCTCCGTATTTCCAAAGCAAATATAAGAATTAGGTCCACAAAAAACTGGCAAAAGAATACTTACATTTAAATTGTCAAAAATCCTCAGAAATCTGGAGAATAGGCAGAACATTTTCATGTATTTATAAAATGAAATATTATTCAGCAATAAAAATCCTGATGTACATAACAAGACAGGTGAATCTCAAAATAATTTTTAAAAGAACAGGTAAAACAAATCGATAGCAACAGACATTCAGCAGTGGTTGGCTCTGGCTGGTGGGCCTTGACTGTAAGTGGATATTAGGAAGTTTGTGGGGTAATGAAGATATTTATGTTGATGGGGATGGTAGTTATACTTAGAAATGCGCTTGTCTATTCATGAATCCATGCTCTCAATATCTGTGCACTAAGATAACCTACCAGTATTTTTAACTCTATTGAAAAATATGTAAGTACTATGTAAAGAAAATATACATAATTTTAGGTCTTGGGTGAATGAAAGACCTAACAAAGAAACAGGTATACCAAACTTCATAAAGACAGCATTGTCTGTAATTTAATTATAAAGTTTACAAAACTACAATAATCTAGCCTGACTAGATAATTGATAGCACAGAATAAGCCATTAATAATCAAAACAATGTGATATCAGTGATGGCATAATAGTCTCAAAATAGGCACAAATACATGAAAGAACTTAGCATATAATAATCTTGCCATTTAAAATGAATAAGGGAAAATGGACTTTTCAATAAATAATGCTGCAGTAACTGGTTAACCATCTGAAAAATAAATTTATATTTACATTTCATAAATTATATCAGAAGCAATCTCAGTTTGTTTACAGATTTAATATAACCTATGAAAATATAAAAACACTAGAAGAAATCATGACACGTTGCTTAACTTAAAATTAGGAAAGGCTTTTCTAAAAATAACATCAAAGCTATAATGGAAAAGATTGATAAATTTAAGTACAACTATATGTTCCACTTAAACATACTTTTTTTAAAAATCAAAAGACAAATGGTAAAGGATAGTATAAGGGAAGAATTATTTGCAAAACACATGGTTCACAAATAAGCAAATACATATCGGCTTTTATACATTTAAAACTTATCTCATAATAAGCTAAGTTTAAATTAAAACTACATTGAGGCCAGGTATGGTGACTCATGCCTGTAATCCCATCACTTTGGGAGGCTGAGGTGGGCAAATCACTTGAGGTCAGGAGTTGGACACGAGCCTAGCCAATATAGTAAAACCCCTTCTCTACTACACACACACACACACACACACACACACACATACATGCACACTCACACACAAATTAGCCAGGTTCCCGGCTGCTCAGGAGGCTAAGGCACTGAACTGCTTGAACCCAGGATGCAAAGGTTGCAGTGAGCAGAGACTGTGCCACTGCACTCCAGCCTAGGCAACTCAGTGAGATTCCATAGAACAAAGAAGAAGAAGAAGAAAACAACAACAACAACAACAACAAAAAACCTCTATATTGATGTATCAGTCTTCAATTAGTAGATTTGGAAAGATTCTCAAATTTAATAGCACACCCGTGGAGATGTTTGTAAAAGGCATATTTATATCTGACTAGAAAAAGCATAAATTAACCTAACCTGTATTAAAGGCAATATTGCAACATGGATCAAAATTGTGGAGGCAATTAACTTTTAACCTGGCAATATCAATTCTAAGACTTATCTTCAAGATGTAACACATATGTAATCTTGCATAAGTACATGTTATACTTGGTTCCCCGTGTGACATTCATCCAAAATATTTATTTTTGATTTGCCCCTCAACTTTGTTCTGCCTCTCAACAGGATCGTACAGAAGAGAAGCCAGCTCAGAAGAGAGGGCAACTAACTTGTCCACTTTCTTCAGTCTATGTTGAAACAAAATGAAAAATTATTTTCGGTATGCTCAATAAGAGAATCATGTTCACCTCATATTCACCCACTGGGAAATAAAAGTAAATGTAATCTACCTACCCATCGATCTGTCTTTCATTGATAATCATTGGTATCATATTCATTGACAATCATATTACCGTCTTACAGATACAGTGCTTTAGAGTTACTATATGTCTTTAATTATACAATTTGAGATATTTAAAAAATAAACCTCTGAATAATAGTATAATATCTATAGCACAAATGAATAAGCTGAGTCAGAAAGTTGAAATAAATTATCTATGGCTGTATTACTAATTAAGTTAATGACTTTGGAATTAAGGTATGTTTTATGGCTCCAACTCAGGAGATATTTCTACAGAAATTTCATGACAATTATCTTAAATCCATTTCAGTCTGAATTATCTCAGTTTACTATATCTTAATTATTTACTTAAAGATACTGACAATATATGTATACATATGCTCACTTCTTTCCTGAAAACTCTTTTCTCAAAGGGTTCAAGAGAACTCAGGGACACAGGGAGGGGAGCATCACATACTGGAATCTGTTGGGGGTGGGGAATAGGGGAGGGACAGACAGCAAGGGGTGGGAGTTGGGGAGAGATAGCATGGGGAGAAATGCCAGATATAGGTGATGGGGAGGAAGGCAGCAAATCACACTGCCACGTGTGTACCTATGCAACAATCTTGCATGTTCTTCACATGTACCCCAAAACCTCAAATGCAATTAAAAAAATAAATAAATAAATAAATAAAAAGCTATGAAAGCTGACATCTTTAGGTAACTAATCAAATAAAGATTGTAATTTGCCAAGTCTTACAGTATGGCCTAATTTTATTAAAATAAAAAGCAAGAACACTCACCAGAGTTTTCTAATTTTAGATTCAATCTAAATGGAATAACCTGACCAACAATAGTAGTATCAATCTTCTCTTTTCCTTGTCTCCTAAAGGGCGTATCATTTTGAAAAACAAATGATATAAACCATCTTTATCCTTGGCTATGGTACTGTTTTGTACCTTTCGAATGAGAAGACATACCTACATGTACCAAGAATAACAGATTGGTCTTACACAGGAAAAGCAACTGATGGTTGTTTTTAACCTTTTCTAATAATTGTCTATGACCAAAGATGTTAAAATAGGGACTACATAAACAGTATATTTCATCACATTTCTTGGTTGCTAGATATAAATAACTAACTTTATTTTATATAAATTAGCAGTCAATTTGAAATGTGCTTCTCTTCTAGAATCTACCATATATAGTCAAGTACTCCCAAAAAGAAAGTGGTGATCAAATTGTTTGATTACTCAATGTCTGTATTGCTCAATCAGCAGGTGATTAAACAATGTGCAAGGAAGGAAATGTGTGGGGGAGATGTCATTGAATAGACTGGCATCTGAATGCAAAGAAGCAATTATATGAGCTTACCACTCAAGTCCTGACTATAGAGATAATGTTTTTGTTTGTTTAAATTTCTCTGAAGGATGAATGTGACTGACAACTTTGTATTTGAAGTTGTAAGTGCTTTTCAATTTCTCATTAGAGTGTATTCCATAGTAACTTATGGGCATTCAACAATCCTATGTTTTACAGATATTCTTTGTGCCCTTTTTTTTTTTTTTTTTTTTTTTGAGATAGAGTCTTGCTCTGTCGCCAGGCTGGAGTGCAGTGTCTTGATCTTGGCTCACTGAAATTCTACCTCCTGGGTTCAAGTGATTCTCCTGCCTCAGCCTCCTCAGTAGGTGGAATTACAGGCACCCAGCACCACAGCCAGCTAATTTTTGTTTTTAGTAGAGACAGGGTTTCACCATGTTGGCCAGGATGATCTCAACCTACTGACCTCCTGATCAGCCCGCCTCAGCCTCTCAAAGTACTGGGTTTACAGGCATGAGCCCCTCCATCCAGCCTGTGCCTTTTTTCCTAAGGCTTTAATGGTGCAGAGGGTAATTGCAATTGAAGAGACAGGGAATGCAGTAAAATAATAAGAGGCCTAAATATTCAGGTATACTTTTTCAATCTCAGAATCTCACTTGAAAACACTGTTGCACCTTTTATTGTCAATATTAGTCATTTTATTTTCTGCAGTTTCTATAACTCCTTACAGTCAAATAAACCAAACTTTAAAAATATTCCTCAAAGATCTAAAGACAGAAATACAGTTCAACTCAGCAATCCCATTACTGGGACTATATACACCCAAAGGAATATAAATCATTTTATTATACATACATATGCACATGTATGTTCACTTCAACACTATTCACAATAGCGAAGACACGAAATTAACCTAAATACCCATCAGTGATAGATTGAATAAAGAAAATATGGTACACATACATCGTGGGAATATTATGCAGCCAATAAAGAAACAAGATCAAGTCTTTTGAGAGAACATGGATGGAGGTGGACGCCATTATCCTTAACAAACTAACACAGGAGCAGAAAACCAATGCTGTACATGTTCTCACTTATAAGTTGGAGGTAAATTATGAGAACACATTGACACATACAGGTGAACAACACGCAATGGGGCCTATTGGAAGGTGGAAGGTAGGAGGAGAAGAGGATCAGGAGAAACAACTAATGGGAATACCTGGGTGATTGAATAA